GTTGGGCTCTGGACCCTAGGCATCCTGTTGGCTATCCTCTTCCTCCTGGGGTCCCATGCAGGTTCACCTGGGCCACACCCCAAGCCCCCACTGCCCTGGTCAGAGATGACCAGGAATAACCCTATCAGGCCTCCTGCTGGCTCAGGCTTCCTCCTCACACCTGGGGTGTGGGTGGCAATGCAGCCATGGCCCTCATATGCCATGTGCTAGGCAAGGGCAGAGCGCTTTCTCCAGGGGCATCCGTGGCTGTGGGAGCTGATGCATGCCATGGCCTGGGGCTGACTGCGAACCCTGTGTGGATCTGGCATCAGTTCTGAGGCACCTGCCATGGAAGGGAGGGTCCTTGCCTCAACCTCCTCCCTCAGCCAGCCCAGGTGGGGGTGGGTGAGGCCAGCCTACAGAGATATGGGGAAGGGGACAGGCTCAGGTTGAGCCCAGGAAACAGAGAACAACTAGGACTGGATAGAGCAGCTCTGTTGGACTTCACATTCCTGCTCATTGACCCCTTTGCTGTGGTATTGCCATCAGCTCTGTGCTGCTGATCAAGGCACAAGGTACACAGGGTAGAGATGGGGCATTTCTTACCACCAGGCCTCCCGGGGGCCTTTCATCTGATTTCTGGTCAGCATCTGGCTGCCCCTTTGGGTTTCAGGCTCCTGCCCAGGACTGGGCTCCAGAACAGAGCCTCTGGCATCACAGGTGGATCTGGCTTGAGAGGCGGATGGGTTACAGACACCAGCCATGTTCTGGCCCCAGGCTGCTTTTGCCCCTTACTCCAGAGCCCAAGGCAGGCCTAGAGGCAAGGACTCTGCAAGGGGCAGTGGGGAGAAGTGTGTCCAAGTCACAGCCCCAGTGCTTCCGGGGGGCTTTGGAGAGGTCACTCTGCCTCAGTGTCTCTAACTGTGAAATGGGAGCAGAGACTGCTGGGAGAGGTCAGCCAAGGGTTGGGCACACAGCCCAACCCCACTGTCTACTCTTAAAGGAGAAGAGCTTATCCCAAGTCTTAGGAGATGAATAGGCAAAAGTAACAGCAAGACCGGAGTGCAGAAGGCAGGCCCAGGGGAGATTACAGAGCCAGTCTGGGGACCCAGTGAGTGGCATTTCAGAAACAAGCCCAAAGTGTGCTACAGCTTTCAGGGTCCCTGGCAGAGCCCAACATAGCAGACTAGGAGGAAATGGGGAAAGAGGAAGGCTGGCCAAGCTACAGAGCAGAGAGGGGTCTTGGCAGCAGTCAGGCAAGAATCACTCACGCCTCCTCCCAGTGCCTTTCCAGCTTGGTGTCAGGTTCAGGAGGTGAGTGTCCCCCAGATCCTGCCTAGCCTGAGTCTGAAGGAGGCCTGTTTGTGGGTCCTGGGGGAACAATGACCACCATCCCATTCACAGAGGAATAGGGGAGGCCCTCAAAGGTGGGAGACATGACATAGGAGGTGAATTCTCTCTCCAATGGGCAGTAGAGGGACATGGTGGACACCAGAGACACCAATCCTAACACAATGAGAGAAAAACCTCAAGGGTCCTGGGGAGGCATTTCAGTCTGCTTCCAGGCCAGGCACCCTCCCCTTCCCGCGGAGGAATCGCCCCTATGCCCCATAGCCCTGGAAAAGGAAGCAAGGTCCTCTCCTGCCCTAATTCCCAAGGATCAGAAGCGAAGCCTGACAGCTGGCGGCAGGGACTCAGGTTGGGGGCAGAGGTTGTAGCTGCACTGGGCAGAGGCCTGGGGCAGTGAGTGGATGGGCGGGCTGAGGCTGTTTCAGGGGCAAGGCTGAGAGAGGGCGTGGATGAGGGTGATCTGAGCAGGAGATGGGTGGAGGCGGGGCGCTCCCAGAATGATTCCATTGGAAATTGCAGAATTGGGAAGAAGAAAACCTCCAGGATGCCAGAGACAGAGAACAAAATGCTCTACAGACCTCTCCTGGGAGGAGACATTTAAAGTTTTAAAGCGGGTAACCCCTCGAGTCCCCTGCCACTGTGGGAGCTTTCCTGTCTTCTCAATAAATCCTACTTAAAAAAAAATAAAAAAGCTTTAAAGCAAGGACAAACCATGAGAAACCCAGGAGGCTGGGATGACTTAAAACAAAACCTCTGCCTATCTGAGTCCCTCACCTCGCAACAGTAATTAAAAGGCCAGAATTGACAGCAACACCCCTAGGCAGATGTGTGAGGTGCAGATGGGAGAGGGGAGGGAAGGGGCTGCCAGGAGCTGAGATGTGAATGTCCTGGGATGGCACAGGGTCTAAGACTGTGGGAGACCAGACTGACCCATGTGAGAAGGCCTCCACCTCTTACTGCCAGTTTTCTAATCTGTCAAATGGAGACAGTGATTCCATGAAAGCCCTGGGAGTGGTAAGGTGGAGAGTGCTGGGGAGGGACTGTGGTTATGCACATGCCATCATGAGGCCCTGGAGAGGACCTGGAAGAGTTTCCACTGCAAATGAGCCCCCACTGCAGGCACACAGGGTGATTTTTTTCCTGTGATTCTACTTGGTGTTTTCCCAATTTTCTGTAAGAAGTTAAGCACTTCCATTTTAAAAGCTATATTTTGGGCAGGTGCAGCAGCTCATGCCTTTAATCCCAGCACTTTGGGAAGCTGAGGCAGGAAGACTGCTTGAGTCCAGGAGTTCAAGACCAGTCTGGGCAACAAAATGAGACCTCATCTCTTAAAAAAAAAAAGAAAAGAAAAGAAAAGAAAAAGCTATATTTTAAGGCCAACATACAGATGCTGTTTTAGTCAATGTTTCCTTAAAATTCTAATGCTAAAACAGATTCTGCATTGTTTTTCAGTTTGTGTTATTTTAATTTTACTTATAAAATATGTTTTTTATAAGGAGGAAAATTAAGCAATTTTGTTTTTAATTTTAAGAGGCCCACCCACGGCTTTCAGGCAGGTTAATCAAAGCAAGTCCAGCAATGTCCACATGTCAGCAGGGCTCTAAAATCAACCTCCTAAGACAGTTTCCACACAAACCTTTGTACCAATGTGGTTTCCTAAACTATGTCCCACATAGAGTTATAGGTTGAGGATCCTCACATCTGCCCATATCTCAGTAAATGTGGACAAACATAGGTAGAAACTAGCCTATAAAATGATAGTACACAAAACAGGGACAGACTTAAGTTGTGTGTCAAAGGTTGTCCACATGCACCTGTTCCTGAGGCATTTAACAGGATGGGGAGCAGGGGACTGCTGGTCAAAACTGAGGCAAATAATGATGTTGTTTTTAAAAGTCAACAGCAAAAAGAGAAACAGCCAAATTCCTGATGGATCCCTCATCCCTTCCAGCCACCAGGCAAGCTGGGAAGGGAAGCCAACCAGGTGCAGATCCATGGGATGAACTGAGCAGGTGTGGGCTTAGGGACCACAGACAGAAATGATCTGCACATGGGCTAATCATATGGCATTCAAATGGCTCAATACTTCCCAGTAACTCTAATTCCTACAGAGGCCTCCGAAGGGGCTGAAGGAATCACAAAATGATTCAAGGAAAACAAGAGTCCCTGATGAAAGGAAACTCCCTAGGGAAGTACTCTCTAGGGAATTGCTCTGCCCTGATATTAGAAATGTCACTCCGTGGCTGGGCTCAGTGGCTCAGCCTATAATCCCCCGCTTTGAGAGGCTGAGGTGAGTGGATTGCCTGAGCCCACGGGTTCGAGACCCGCCTGGGCAACTTGGTGAGACTTCATCTCTACAATAAATCAAAAAAAATTAGCCGGGCATGGTAGCGTGCGCCTGTGGTTCCAGCTACTTGGAAGGCTGAGGTGGAAGCATCGCTGGAGCCCAGCAGGTCGAGGCTGCAGTGGCCGGGAGCAGCCACTGCACTCCAGTCTATGGGTGACAGAGTGAGACTCCAACTCAAAAAAAAAAAAAGAAATGTTACACGTTGGATGGGGAAGAGCTTGCTCCGGGCTGGGGGTTGGGAGAGTGTGGGCTGTTAGATTCAGAAGCAAGTTCAGAGTTCTCCTGAAGCCAAAGTTCTCCTGTCTCGGGCTCTACCTCTGGTAAAACCGAGGGGTTAATTTGATCAGGTCTTTCTGCCCTGCTCTCTTTTGGTAGCTTGCTTTTTGTCATACCCCCGCCCCCTTTTTTCCACAAAGCTGAAAGCTGAGATAGCTGAAGGCCTTGCCCCAAATGCTGAAACTTAACCTTCGCTGGCTAATTTATAGATAACGTTCATAGTTCATCATGGTAATGATCACTTCAGTTGTTTTTCAGGAACTTAAAACTCCTGTTCAGTTTAAGCCTGTTGAGACCATCAACCCTTCAACTGGGCCTGTGCAAGTGCCCAAGAGGTGGCCTTTCGACGTCAGAGGGCCAAAAGCCCCATCCTCAGATCATGCTAATGCGTCACTTTCCGTACATATGTCCCATGAGGTGCGATGAACCCTGATTAAGCTTGGGCAAAATGAACCTGTTACTTCATTTTCCCCATTGCCAAATGTTCCACCCCACTTCTCTAACCCATAAATATCCCGAAGGCTTATCTTCAGGACCACGGATTTGAGAGCTGTTCTCCTGCCTCCTCGCCCAGCAGCCTTGCAAATCTTTTTTCTTTTGCAAAACCTGTATCATAATGATTGATTTACTGTGCGCAGGCAGAAGGGAACTGGCCCTGGCTGCTATCACTTTTGTCGCATTATCGGGCAGTGACGCGCAGCTTTAGGGGGAGGGAGTTGCACGGAATGGAGTTGGGCTGTTGCCCAAGCAACCGGGTGAAGGAGGGGGAGGGCGACTAGATTCTGTCTCCATAGAGACTATACCCGCTGAGCTCCAACATTACTACTGTCCAGAGGGAGCACACGGATAAAGGTTGGCGATACTGCCCTGATGCCCAAGACCCTGCAGCCCTGATTCTACCTCCCTCAAACCTCGAAACCCTGAGATGCATCCCACCCCTATTCCTTGGGCCTAGAATATTTGGATTGGGGTCTTCCCAAAGGAGTTGAGCAGAGGGAGCGGGCGGGAGCGGTGTCCTCACCAGTCTCGGTGCCCCAGGTTCTAACCTATGGCGCCCAAGAAGAAGCGCGGGCCAGTTGTGGGGCGCCAGCCAGGCGCAGCCGGCCGGCGGGCCGAGCCGTCACTGTCGGAGCGCGCTCAGTACCTACAGCGCGAATACGCGCTGCTGTCGCAGGAGCTGGAAGCCTGCGAGGAGCGCGTGGACCGCGTGCTACAGGAGAACTCCTTCCTGGACAGAGAGGCGCTGCGCCTGCGCGAAGAGAACCGGCTCTATGCTAGTTACGTGAGCGCGCGCGCCCAGCGCTGCGCCAACTCCATCGTGCGGCTGGACGAGCAGAACCGCGTGGACCTAGCGCAGATCCGGTGGCAGCGGGCAGAGCTGGCCTCACTCTACCACGGGCGCGAGGATGGGGTGCGCGCACAACTGCTGGAGATGGAGGCTCGAGCCACACAGATGACGCGGCAGGTGCAGGAGCTGCAGCCGTACAAGGCCAGTGCAGTCCCCCGCGGACCATGCAGGACTGGGAGGGATGCGGAGCCCAGGCTGAGTGGGCTGATCCTTGCCCCTATCTTAGGATCTGCAGCTGGAGCAGCTGGCCCGGATCCGTGCGCTGGAGCGCGAGCTGCTGCACGTACGCGTGGAGCACACGCAACTACTTCACCGTGTGAAGGGGCGCTTCTTGGAGGACAAGGCGGCTTTTGAGCGCGAGGCGCGCCAGCATGTGCAGTCCTTGACGCGGCGTGCGGAGCAGGAGGCGGCACGCGCGCTCGTCGCGCACACTCAAGCCATCAAAGCCGACAACTGGCGCCTGCGGCAAGAGTTGTTGCGTCTTCTCCGCCGGGCCCAACTGCTGTACGACACCCGGTACCAGTTGCTGGAACAGCGCGAGCAGCTGCGGCGCGAGCACGAGGACATGCGGGACCTGGCGCGTGTCCACCGCTGGCTGCGCAGGGGCCCCGAGGGCCCGCCACTTTGGCAGCCACCTGTCTCCTCCCAGGCCATCTCACGCCCCGGCTCTTTAACCTCCCCTGTAGGCGCTTCACGCACGGCCTCCCGGGCCCCATCTGTGGTTTCGTCGCGCACGGTCTCCCAGCTCCCTTCATTGGTGCCATCGAGCGTGGACACTAGGGTACCATCACTGGTCACCTCAAAGGCGGGCTCCCGGATTCCATCCCTAACGCCGTCGCACTCATGCTCCCGGGTCCCATCACAGGCAAACTCTCAGATCCTGTTGCTGGCGCGGATCCGCGAGGGCTCCCGGATCTCTTCGTCCTCTTTGCATGCGGCCTCGCAGGAGACTCTCCCTTATGCGAAGTCTGGCCCCGAGCATCCCTTGGGTCTGTCCCAGGATCAGGATAGGGCTCTTCTCCCGCCTCAGTCGGAGGAGATCATGAACACTGATGCTACAACGGAAGCTGCCTCGGAGAGAGCCTGAACCCACAGGGAAGAAGGCCAAGGAGGCCCTGGGGTGGGTGAGACGGATGCGCAGGACGCTTATTTGGTGAATGCAATGGTTAATAAAGTTGTGTACCCTAGGCCGCTCTGACATCTGCCTGGTTCACTGCTCGGCTTTACCGACCAGCGTGGGACTGCTCGCGGGTGATTCCAGTTACCAAGCTGCAAGGAAGCTTGATGCCTCTTTCCCCTGTGTGTCCCCTAGGATTCAACGACTCTCCACCAACAGCGAGCCTCCACCTCCACGCCTAGAGAAGCTCCAGTGAGCCGGCAGAAGCAGAGGAAGCCAGGACACCAGCGGCCTGCCCACGACGGTGTTGTAGGCAAGGACAGATGGTGAAAGAGGAGGGGGACACCCACGCTGTGGCAGAGAGGCCAGGGTGCAAGTCAGGAGGTTCTGGAGAGGAGCGTGGGCTTTGTTCTCAGCCACTTGAGGAGGTTTTATGTTTAACCTTTTGGAAGTTTTTTGGTAAAACTTTGGAGAACATTGCAAGAATAGTACAGAGGACTTCCAAGTACCATTTATCCAGATACACCCACAGGTTACGTGTTTGCTCCATGTGTTTTGTGTGTATCTGTGTATGCAAGCATTTTTTTCTAAGCCATTTGAAATTGGGTTGGTGGTATCGTGGCTCCTTAAACCTCCCCCCCTTTTTTTTTTGAGACAGGATCTCAGTCTATGGCCCATACTGGAGTACAGTGGCATGATCTCAGCTCACTGCAGCCTTGACCTCCTGGGCTCAAGCAGTCTACCTCAGCCTCCCGAGTAGCTGGGACTACAGGCATGTACCACCACACCTGGCTAATTTTTGTATTTTCTGTAGAGTTGAAGTCTCTCTATGTTGCCCAGGCTCAACTCCTGGGCTCAAGCAATCTCCCACCTCAGCTTTTCAAAGTGTTGGGATTACAGGTGTGAGCCACTGGGCCCAGCTTTTCCTTACTTTTAAAATATGATTTTTAAAAAATCACATATCTATTCATAAATAATACAGTCTTCAGATCTTCTTGTTTTGAACTTTATAAAAATGGTATCATGGTATGTGTTGCCTTCAGGGACCAGCCTGCCAAAGTGTTGGGATTATAGGCATGAGCCACTGCACCCGGCCAACCCCTATTACTTTAGTGTGTATTTCTTGAACAGAAGGATATTCTCCTATGCTACTGCAGTACAAAATCAGGAAATTTACCATGGATAAAATATCATCTAACTCATACCTCACATTAAAACTGTGTCACTTGTCCCGACAGTGTCCTTTGTAAATATCTCCCTCTCCTTAGGGTCACATACTGCATTTAGTTGTCATGTCTCAATGTCTACATGCCAGTTATTAAATGCCCCTAAAGGAAGTTTGAATTTTTCGACTGCTGTATCTGGGAGGGGCTAAGGATACTTCCAGTCAAGGTGGCGCCAATTCCAACTGGCAGTGTCTGGATCCCAGACCAAGGGTGAGTTGAGGCAGTTGGGGCCCAGCGGGTTAGTTCTGGTAGTCTCCTGTTTCTTGCCCAGCTTCTAGGCTTCTACCTGTGAACAAGCCACTCATGCTGGTCTTCACTGTGCCTGGGGCTCTGAGCTCCTGTGGGGTGGCACCCGAGTGGGTGCCCTTAGTACCTTCAGTACCGCCCACTTCCCGGTGGCTCATGCCCCAAGTCACCATCCCTCATACTGGAACCACGAAGCTTTCCTAGTGCTTCTTCCGGAGACCTTGAAGACCTTCCAGGTCAGTCCTGAAGATAAGGACCAGAGCGAGCCCACCTGCAGCCAAGCTCTGCTCCCTCCCGAGAAGAAGGCTCTAACTTCAGGGATTGAGGTCACCTTGGAGGGTTAGGGTTAGGTCCTGCAGGGGAGGTTCTATGGTGCCCTCTCAAGTGCATGCTATGATCCTCAATGGGGTGAGGATGGGGCAGATAGGAAGGTGGGTGCTGGCTGCCACAAAACAGGGCAACATCCCTGGTTTGCAGAGGGTCCCATGGACCTCCCTACCCCGACCTGGATCTCAGGGCCCACCCAGCTGAGTTGTCCCCCTATATGGATGGAGCCTTTTGGTGCAGGGGCACCTACCCCTTAAGCAAGAACTGTAACGGGGAGGGGAATAGCTGGGTGTTGGAAAAAGTAAAGAGGGCTCACCCATGGGGCCAATTCAGAAGGTGAGTTCCTTGTGAATAAAGATCCAAACATTCAAAAAACGTAACACACACCTTAGAATAGATAAATCTGGAAACTGACACACCAAATGCTGCCAAGGATGTGGAGCAACAGGAACTCTCACTCATTGCTGGTGGGAATGCAGAATGATACAGCCACTTTGGAAGACAGTTTGGCAGTTTCTAACAAAACTAAATATACTCTTACTATATATATTATCTGCAATAATGTTCCTTGGTATTTACCTAAAGGCACTGAAAACCTGTGTACACACAACACCCTACACATGGATGTTTATAGCAGCTTTATTCACAATTGCCAAAACTTAGGCAATTAGGACGTCCTTCAATAGGTGAATGGGTAGACTCTGGCACATCAGACGATGGAAAATTATTGTGCACTAAATAGAAATGAGCTGTCAAGCTATGAAAACTCATGGAGGAAACTTAAATGCAGATTACTAAGTGAGAGAAACGAATCTGGAAAGACTATATACTGTATTATTCTCCCATATGACATTCTGGAAAAGACAAAACTATGAAGACAGCAAAAAGACCAGTAGTTGCCAGGGGTTGGGAATAGGAGGGTTGAATAGGGGAACACAGAGGATTTTTAGGGCAAACTACCTTGTATCATATCTTGTATGACACTACAATCACGGTAATATGTCATATGTTTGAACCATATGTTCTATAATACCAAGAGTGAAACCCTAATGCAAACTATGGACTTTGGTTAAATAGTAATGTATTGATATGGCTCATCAGTTGTAGCAGATGAACCACACTAAGGCAAGATGTTAATAATAGAAGAAACTGTATGGAGGGGTATATGGGAACTCTGTACCTTATGAACAATTTTTCAGTAAACCTAAAACTGCTCTAAAAATAATCTATTAACTTTGTTTAAAGCAAAAACTTTCAAGTGTTACAGCAAATGTGGAAATATTCTTGAGATGTGCAAAACTTTTTTTATTTTTTATTTTTTAGAGATGAGGTCTCGCTATGTTACCCAGGCTAGTCTCAAACTCCCAGCCTCAAGCAATCCTCCTGCCTTGGTCTCTCAAAGTATTGGGATTACAGGCTTGAGCTACTGTGCTCGACAGGAAAGCATTTTTTTTTTTTTTTTGAGTTGGAGTCTCACTCTGTCACCCAGACTGGAGTGCAGTGGCCGCTCCCGGCCACCGCAGCCTCGACCTGCTGGGCTCCGGTGATCCTTCCGCCTCAGCCTTCCGAGTAGCCGGAATTACAGGCA